AAGAGGTCACTGCTGTCAGTGATTGGTGTGCTGATGTGTCAGGCACGCAAGACCCAGGGACCACACAACCCAAGATGCCAGTGGGCAGGCACCATTTCTGGCTTCTTGGTGAGCCAGGGGCCCTAGCAACATACCCTGCCTTCACTGTTGCCCACAGGCCACAGGGTGACACAGTCAGTCAGCCAGGGGCTCTTCTCCTAAGACTGTCCCAGTGTGTAGGAGCCAACCTGCCCCCAGACTGAGAGCAAAGGCTAGATTCTGCAAAGACTCAGCTGGCCACACCACAGTCCCTCGCCACCCTGAGCCCTTGGCCATCCCTGTGTCATCCCTGAGCTTCCCCCAACCCCCTCCACCAAGTGCCCATGGGATCTTCAGGTGGCACTGCCCTCAGGGGAAGTTGGGGGAAGGAGCTGGGAGGGTGGGTGCACACCTAGGATGGGGGTCATGCACGTCATGCCACACCGGTCTTCGCAGCACTTCATGACACCGGTACACTCGCCGTCCCAGGAGCAGGAGTCCTTCTCCTCGCAGGAGTTGGGGCTTATGTGGGCGGGCACCCAGGGGCAGCGACCAGCCTTCGGGACTGAGGGAGAGGCAGGCAAGCTCTCTTTACCTACAAGCCCTTTATGCTCACTAGTCTTGCTGGGCCCACCTTCCACATTCTGCAGGTGAGGAGTCTCTGGGGTCCTGAGTCAGAGGCATCCTTGGGGCCTCCTTTCTGCTAGTTTCAGTGCTTGATACCCATACCTCCCTGGGTGGCCCAAACCCCTCATGGATAGGCTAAGAAGGTGGTGGGGCAGCAGGCCTGCAGGTTCAGGAAGATCAACTGGGCTCAGACTGAGAGCTGCCTGGCATGTGACCATGGACCTTGACTAAGCAGATTCCACCCTCCTGCTGAGGCTGGAGAGCTGAGGCAGTGGCATTACCATTAATTGGGGTTTTGCAGGAGAAACCGCAGGCGCTGAGGCAGCACTTGGTGTCACCCTGGCAGTTCTCGTTGGTGTTGCAGGATTTGAGGCAGGCCATCTCCTCCTCCGAGGAGCTGATGTCGGAGCACAGGGCCTGCTCTGTGTACAGTACAGGAAAGTGGGCAGGAAGGCCGAGCTCTGCTTCTATCCTGGCTCCCCAGAGGAGGGAAAGGCAGCAGCAAGGACAGAAAGAGAGCCTGGCCTCCCACAGCCCAACACATCGTTTCTGAGAAGGCAGAGCAAATCTACCAGAAACGTGATACAACTGACAAAGTGTACAGATCGCTGTGAAAATCAGAAAGCAGGGCTGCAGGCCTCTATGAGAGGTGGGAAATGAAGACTCTGACCAGAAGTGACCAGTGCCCAAGTCCCCGCCCTGGCTTCCTTACTTGCCCTAGCCCAGTACTTCTCATCCAGCAACCATGGCCTCGGGTAGCACCTTGCTGTCTGTCACCCAGGGTCCCTTCCCCGGGCACCAACCTCTTCTGTTCTTCTCCTCCCTGTCCTGGTGTTAAGATTGCACCGGGAGCAGAGATCTGCTGAGAGGATCCTCCAGGGCACATCCCTGAGAGAAGTGGGTGGCTGGCCTACCTGACAAGAGGAGGTATGAATCTTGAGCGAGGACAGCCTCCAGGGCCAGCAGGGCCAGGGCCAGAATGATGAGACAGCGCATGGTGGCGGGTAGCGGGTGGCAGGCAAGTGACACACAACGGCCTGAGGCCTGGGGTGCATTTAAAGGGCGCAGTGGGAGGAGCCCAAAGGGAGGCTGGACTGGCAGGGCCCCAGCTGGGCTGAGGGCTTCCTCCTTGGATATGTGGAAAAGCCAGGCCTGGCTTACGGAATGGCCACAATCAGGGTCATTTTTCTTTTGGTATTTATGGGCTTTAAAAATATTTTAATTGCTGGAGGGCACGTGTGCTTGCCAGAGAATAGCAGAGAAAGAGAGAGAGAGAGAAAGTACCATGGGGAGTACCAGAAAGTACCAGACCCGGGGACTAGTTACATTGCAGTCCCTTCTTCAATTTTTCACCTTGTTGAGATTTTGGGCACACATGCATACTTGTCTGTTGTATTTTTCATGCCACTGCCAGAGCTGAGATTTGAACCGTAGTTGGCCATGTGGGATCTGGCTTCTTTGACCATTTGATTATGGGGCCAGCCCTCAAGATCTTTTTTTATTTTTTTATTTTTTTTAGTTATAGGATGCATGTGCTCCCAGGAGAGAGATGAGAGAAAGAGACAAAAAGAGAGAGAAAGAAATCATCCCCGAGGAGAAATGGCCAGGCTTGATCCTTTCTCTCCCATTTTCTTCTCAAGATTTTGGCCATGGGAACCAGCAGTTAGTGTAATGGCTATGTTGCTGGACTCCCACGTAGTCGACTGCGGTTTGTGTCCCGGACCCGGTGGCTTAAAACTCATGCAGGGCGCATGTGCATGCATGCCCAATATCCCGAGAGGAGAATGGAGGAGAAGGGATTGCGGCGTGACTATCCCCCCTGGGGGGTGATTTCTTGCTTTCTGTCTCTATGTCTCTCTCTGTCTGTCTGGCGAGCGCACGCGCCCTATAGTGAAAATTTCTCCAAAAAGAAAAAAAAAGATTTTGGCCATGCACATTCACATACTGGACATGTTTTTCAAGCTGTTGGGTCTGGGACTCGAAGTTGGCCATGTGAGATTCAGCTGCCTTAACCACAGTGCCATCAGCTGGCCCATCAGGATGGTTTTTTTTTTTTTTTTGGAGAGATTTTCACTGTAGGGCGCGTGCGCT